ATTTGAGAAAATTGTTATTATAGGAGAAACACCTTACATTTTATGTCTTTAAAAATCTCCAATACTATGGGAAGTAAGATTTGATCTCTTTTTCTAATCATCAAGATTAGCAATAAAGTATGAAAATTCTTTAGATTGTTATATCTTCAGTCTGCTACTGTGTGAATCAAATTCTTCCATATGCCCTCTCAAATAGCATAACATCCTGTTAAAAAGGTCATCAGACTAATTTAGGTATATCCTCTACACATACATGTCTTAGATCACCTACACAACTTCTTGTAAGTCTCCTTTTTTTATGTAGAGATGCTGCTTTTAATTCAAATAATGAAGTACACTTTTTTACTATGCAGTCTAAAAGCAGCAACTTGAACTAAGGACCTTTCAACCACATAGCAATGATCTTATGAACTTGAGCAAGAAAGTCCTGGGTGATAGCAAAAGAATGCTATTTGTTTTGTGGGGACCATCCTAGAGTTAGAGATCTGGTCATATGTGCCCATAAATTAGTGACTGTTTCAGAGATAGCAAGGAATGTAAAATGCCCACAGAAATTTAATAGTAAGTGAATACAGGTGGCTAGAGCTTGAGGCTCAGAATAGGATACATATACAGAGGGTCAGTAAGGCTTCTGATTAGAAAACCAAAGAGAATGAAACGTTGCAATTTGACCAGAGGTGTGGCTAGCAAGATAGAATTCCCTGTTGGTTAGTAACTTACAGGCCTGTTAAGATACTGAAAGTGCATGAAAAAAAATTACACAAGGACTTCAGTACAGTAAGGCAGCTGTGGCAGGGAATAATAATGTGCTGATTCCTATCAACTTTGAACAGTAACAGCAATTTGCTTCAAGAGCACACAGTCACTTGTGCCTGCAAACAGGCACTTCCTTCAAAACATCTTCAATACAAGCAAGTAAACTGAAAGATGATGTGGGCAACTGAGGCCAAGAAAAAATGTTTTTAAGGAAAACAAGTAGAAAAAACATGTAAAGGTGAGAAATAAGAGAGGCAGGGAGTTGGACAGCAGGCTTTGTGATGAAGTCTATGTTATCGGGTAGGACAGCTTCTAGATCTGGAAATTCAAATTTATGCAGCCATGTTAGCTGATTTTTGCTTTTGTGGGTTTTGATTTTTTGTTTTGTTTTATTTTCTTGTGTTCCAGATAGATCTTGGATGCAATGGTCTAGATTAGATTACTGTAATGCACTCTACAAGTGGCTATGTATTACAACTCCTTGGAAACTAAAGCTAGTACAGAATGCTTATTAAACTCATTTTCATGCTACAAGTATTACGTCCACACTCCATGCTGACTGCCAGAATGTTTCCAGGTGGAATTTAAGACAGATTGCCAACTCTCAAGCCAAAACTGAAGTAAATAAATTTAAGTTTTTACTGTAAAGCTGCAAAATTATCTTTTTCCCCAAGTTTTTTTAAGGTTCGTAAAAATGGTTAGTATTGCAATGTTGGCAATTGCAATGGCAGCACTCACTCCCCAGAAACTTATTTGTATCAAATAAAAATCAGATGCACCAACATAATGAAGGAACACATCATGAATCATTGTAACATGACCATGTGTAGATGCAGAGAAGAGCCAGTCTTCCTACTGCTTGTGAAGTTTTCTTACATCTTCCCCTAAGTCCAGACATACAAGGGCAAAATAGAAGATTGTCAACCTATACCTCACCCTAAACAGAAAAGCAGAAAGAGAGGGAATAAAGGCAAGTGGCTGGACACTTGGCTCCCAAGAACAACTAGAAGACATAAACACATCCATTACGTCTGAAAAACGGGCCTGACTAGCTCCTTCAAGAGAAGTTAGAGATCTTATCATTTACTACATCTAGAACCATGCTGCCTATACAAGATACAATATCGAGTAACAGTTATAAGAAAAATATGATAATTTAAACAAAATGGTAATACCCAAACCAATGTAAAACGCATGCATATCTCAAGCAGGATGTGTGCGTATATTTCTTCCAAGAGACTGGTGGTACACCATTCTCTTTAAAGGAGTATAGACTTACAGTAGCATATATAATGTTTTACATCACTGAGAAATGTCTTATTCTTCATGACAAATACGTGCTCAAATGCACACGTACATTACTTTTACAGCCATACATAATAACATACATGTATTTCTCTAATATAAATGTAGCATAAACATTTACATTAAGTATTATCCATAGAAATGAGTAATGTTTCAAAATTAATACTATATGTTCAATTATCCCTTTCTCTCCAGAATTTTTCATAAAACTTTCAAATACCCTCCCTAGCACTCACTAAATTAAATGGCATTTATCTTACAATATGCACCACTTTCTTATACCCTTAGAAAATTAAAAATGCGCTCTGACGATTTGCAACTTCCCTACTTTCTCAGTTTATTCTGTGGTTTCAAACCTCTTGCAGTATGTTGGATTATGGCCACATATCTAGATTTTATGTGTAATACACAACTGAATGGGAAATACAGGTTTGTATTGCACATGGCAATATAATTGCTGTACAGAAGAATGCTGTATGAAATGATGAGTAACACAACACAGAAAGTATAAAAAGAAAAAAAACCCTGATTGAAAAATGTAACCTAAAGCAATGGCCACAGTTCACTCATAATTATCATTGACAGTCCCGTTCTCAAAGATTATTTCAGGGAGGATTTTGCTTTGGATCTTGCTTTAGAAGTAAACATTTTCTGGGCTAATCCATTCTTCACAGAATCTGGAAATTTAGGGATGGCAATACTTCGGAAGAACACCTACTCCAAGCCCAACACACCAACACAAGGTAAAATAAAGCTATTATCATAGCTACAGATATTTGCCTAATCTGTTCTTAAAAATCTACAAGAAAGGAGCCTCCATTACACCTATATGAAAGAATGTCCACATTTTCTTCCCACTTGCAGATTTACCAGACTTCACAGTGAAAAAAAAAAATCTTTTTTTTTTTTTTTAATAACTAACCTAGTTATTTTTGGTAAAATTATATTTACCACTCCTACTCTTTCTCCAGTAGGCACTGGAATACAATTGATCAGAGTTTTCTTTACAACATTTTACATACTAGAAGACTTATGTCTCCTCTTTAGTACTTTCTAGACTAAACAAACCCAGTTCTTTAAGCCTTCCTCACAGGTCATGTTCTCTAAAGCTCCTATCATTCTTGCTGCTTTCCTTTGGTCCCTTTCTAATGTGTCTATCTTTCTCTAGGGTATGGTGACTGAAACTGTATACAGCTTTACATATGAGGTCTCAGCAATGCTCAAAAGAACAGAATAATTGCTTGCTGCTTCTTTTCCACTATTACATCCATCCCAGAATTAGATACAACTTCATTGCAATGGTATTGCATTGTGCAATCCAGATTCCTTTTTCCATGCTACTGCCTCATCAGTGTATGTGATTTCTCCCTTGTAAATGGAATTGTCTTTACTGAATTTGAGATTATTTATTCCAGACTTTCTCTCTAGTTTATTGAGACTGGAGCAGCTTAGTGAGTAGTTTAACTGCTCCTACTATGCGTGAAACTTCTTGCAGCTTGGTTCTTTATCAGCAATATTCATGTTTTCTTCAATTTCAACAATGAAATAATTCCTAAAAGAATACTCTGCAGAAGCAGATAAAGGGCAGACCTCTTTGGAACCCTGCTGTAACCATCCCAACCGTCTGACAATGAGTAATGGAAAATTTGTCTGTAGTATGTTATTTGTATGAGTCGCATACCCATCTCATGGTGATTTCATAATTAATTAAATTAGTATTACTTCTGGTTACAGCTTTTATATTGTAATGCATTTTTCATTAATTACATTACAAACCATGTATTTATTTGTATATTACAAATATATAGTGGGACAGTGTTAAAGGCTTTATGAATGCAAAGAATGTAACAGCTACCACTTTCTTCTTTAGCCACAAAGCCAGTTACCCTATCAAAGGATATTAGATTTGCTAGACATAATTTGTCCTTGATAAATACAGGCAGACTAAATATGGGATGGGTATGCTATGTAACAGCCATCTAGACCTGCATTCTGTTCTAGAGAGTTGCCCAAAGCTGTCACTAGGAAAGAGAGCACGAAAACAGTGACTACACAGTGAAAAAAAATCTCGTATCTTCAAAAAAGTAACATAAAAATAGTTTATCTGATCTAGGAGAGGATCTGCCAGTTGATGATTAAGAAAGAGGATAAAGGCAGAGCAAGTATAAAGGGATCTGATACACACTGAGATTACTGGGTACATAATGTCATACAGTCTGATACAGACATCAAGCTACTGTAAATGAACAATAAAAAGATTGTTGGCTTTCTATTGATTCACCGATTGATAATTTATTCTATAACTTTCCAGGGCCTAAAATAAAAATACTCATAGATCCCCATACATTTTATATATAAAGATGAGAGTTGTTTGCTTCCCTTAAGCCTCCAAGGATTTCCTATATCCTGTGTAAGAGCTGCTGAATATACTAATAAATAGTTCAGAGTAAAACTGAGAATATTATTACTAGTAAATACAGTAAAATAGATAGTACTTCATGTGCCCTATCTTTAATCATATACCCACTTCCATCAGTCATAAAATTTCTTAATTTTTTTAAGCTCTTCAAGATGTTTTGATACATACCTTCATTATGCTTTTTATTTGCTTTTTTTTTCCCTGAATAACCCATAACCCTGAATAACTGTTTTTCCTAATACTGATAAATACATATATGGGTAACTTTCCTTCTTGTCCTAATGTGACTGAGCTCTTCATTGAAATCCTACAGTTTTCAAGTCTTATTGTAGTAGGCTAAAGAGTCATGTAGTCACACCAGACAAAAAGCCAAATGTTTCAATTGTTTTAGGGGTGAAACAGAGCTATTAGTTTCAGTTCAAATAACACATAACTTGATTATTTTTTCTTTGAAATACTTACATTGAAATATCAAAATAGTAAACTTCTAAATCAGAAGGTGAAAAAAGAGGTGACTAACCTGATCTGGAGAGGGTCTGTGGTTGGAGTGTTGTGGCCTCCCAGGAGATCGATGATGGTGGTGGTGGTGATGGTGGTGGTAGTGGTGATGGTCATCATCGTAGTTATCTGCCATCAGTTTCATCCTGTTTTGTGTCTGTTTAAAATGTAAAGTGATATGATTCTATTAAATGTTGGAATGTATCACTCTAACAGTGTTTTAGGAAGGTCTTAGCTCTTTCTTAGCTCCTATTACTTTTATTTTTTGGGGGGCTGTAAAAATCTAACAACAGAAGTCTGGACTGCTGGCTCACAAAGAAAAGGAAACAGAAATAGAAGATAAAAATATGTGAACATATCTTCTGTCTCAGTAGACTGCACAAAGTAGGATTGCACAAAGCGGTCAGAAGAGGATATTTATTTAATTGTATACCAAGATCACCCTGCTAAGCAGTAAGTTAAAGGATAATCAAGTGATAGAGACACAGGCACTTAGAAAAATAAGTGATTATGGAACTTGACATGTTACTGAATGAAAGTAAGTCTTAGATACAGATCTTGAAAAAAAGAGCAACACTTCAGCTACTGCTGTGTACAGATAATAAAATCTACGTTACTATAACAGGATACATCAGTGCATGTTATCACTATTACAATTATCCCATACCATGAAATACGTCGACCGGAATAATTCAAACCTTGCTCATAATACCAAAATATCTTACCAGCAATTGCCCAATGGCAGTGGATACAGTACTTATTTTTTCTTTACGTCCAGGACTGTCATAAGATTGATTTGCCTATGAGAGCAACCCTATATGAAAATCTCCATTAGGAAAAAATCACTAGTAAGAATATTTTAATGGAAAATGTAAAATCTCAACTCCCCAATTTTAATGTTTGGGGTTTTGCTTTGTTTTGATTTTTATTGTTGTTTTGGTTTTGCTTAAGTAGAAAAGAGACTTGAACAAAAGCAAACTAAATGTTCCTATTACACAGTATTTTAAGTAAAACAAAATCTAATGCGATGAGAACTATGAACCACAGGAAACACAGGAAATCCTGATGTGCCTTTTTACCCTTTTTTTTTTTTTAATTGTCACAATGCTTCTCAAGCACTTTATGTGTCCATTAGAAGCATCATAGAAAACTATTTCACAGGAGGAGACCTGTACTATGTTCAAATAAAAACAAACAGCCAAACTAAACCTTTAAGTCCTTCACAATAACAAGACAGAGGAACAACCACAGATCAGATATGCACATGCTCTAGCCAGTGTCAGACTCTTTATGAGCATCTTGATAGCACTAAAAGAGCATCTTCTCAGTACGTTACAGAATAAATGTCTTCCAGAGGTCAAGTGGTGGATTCCTTTGAACAGGAATTACTCTGGCACTATATGGTATAATTTCACATTTTTAAATGCTATTTTCTGCACAGTTGGAACCATTCCATTTTCTCCCTTCCAGATAAGAAGATGGAAGCATACAACTGTATGAATTTCAACTATGAATTTCTACTGATTTTGCCAAAAGACAAAGTCAATCTAAAACATCATAGTTGGTCTGTTTGTCTTTAGATTCAAAGAGGAAGGCCTTTTGAACAAAAGAGTGGAAAAGATGGAGAATTAATAGACAAATAATAACCCACTTACTGTAAACACTGTAATACCCTACCTCTTTGGGGAAGCTCCTAACATTTTATTGGTTTATTTTCTTATCAATGAACAGCCTTAAATTTCCTACCTTTCAACTGTGTTCCATAAAAGAATGCAAAAGTTAAACAAGATGATATATGCAATCCTAAAAGTGTCCCCTGTAATGAGGTGTCAGGGATTAGATGTGTCATGGCATAAGAACTGTAAATGAATGATGTCATCTTTCTAATTTGGTGCTGAAATATAAATAAACCACTTCTAATGTTTCTTCCTTTTGGATGTCAGATTGCAGTAAAATGCACACAAAGAAACGTTAATGCGATAGTACGCTTCCTTTAGTGTGCCTGTTCTGGAAAAGCAAAATATATAAGAAATGTGAAATGAAAATTTCTTTTCCATTCAAGTGATCACCAAATCATCCAAACTTGTACATGACCTGTGATTGTCACTGATTTCTTAAAATGATGCTAAATATTTTGCAAAACATTATTTTTAAAAGCTTTTTGGTTTTATTCATTAGCTCCTCACAATAACTAATATGATTTTGAGGTTCTGTTTGTCTTTGCTTTAGCTATTGTCTGAGTGCTATACTTCCACACTGAACTGTATTTTCCAGGTATGCTTAGCTTTGACTTAATAAGTACAACACATAATTTCAAACTTCCAAAAGTAGAACACTTGAGAAGGATGAACAGAAGGATTTCTGATGGAGTAAGAAAAGCAAAGCCATGCAGAGGAATAATAACAACCCTTTCAGGTCCTTCTAAACAAAAATCTGTAATGTTACTTCTGTTTGCTTTCCTTGCTAACTCTTTTAATCTTTCATAGGCTTTGAAATGTCAGGTATATTTTTATTTGAGGAAGAAATTAATTAGCCACATTGGAATTCGTTCAGGACTCCAGGGCTTCACACCCCTACACCTACATACAAGCACATACACAAACACACAGAAAGGTCTATATATTATAGGACATTGGTTTATCAGACCCACAATAAATCCTCACTGTCTGGGCCCCATATCAACACATTAGGAGAGTGCTTCAGTGCTCACTGCAAAGGAAGTATACCGCCTACTGTCTTGGCAATGCCATGATTTCCTGCAACATCTTCAGCACATCTGTAAATCTCCTATCCAAGAACATCCAAGACCTCTTACATTACTTTTGAAAGTGTAATAGATTATTCAATATGATCTTCCTGGGTGATCAGGAAAGTCAGTCTTGGAATGTCAAATTCATGAAAATTAGTGTGATGAACATACACACATTTAAATTGTTCCATATCAAATTTGCATCATGTTACTCTGCATGAGTTACTCCATATCTGAAATAGTTATATAGTTTAATATTTTATTCACATTTTCTTCTAAAAACTATTACTATTGATATGGTTTTCCTGAAGACAAATTTCTTAGAATTTACATTTCGTAGAATTTACCGCTCTGACAACAAAATTATCACACTAACAGTTTGTTTTGAAAATGCCTGTTGAAAACCAGGCCCATTCCTGGAAAGGAGCAGGTTTTAATTTGGATTTATATTAGCAAAGGAAAAATTGTAACTTGTAAAATGCAACAATTAATTTCATCTCCTACAAAACATGTACAGACTTAATTTTAGCCTAAACAGTTTTCTCAGATTTTTTTTTCTTTAAATTTATTGACTACATTCAAGAAATACTGCATCCATTTTGAAATAAAGGAATGATAGAAGAATTAAAAGCAGCTTAAATCTAGGTGCACAGGTATATTAACCCTTAGGGCTTGAAACAGTTGTCTTTGATCATTCAATATCACTATTTGCCAAGCTGTCAAGGTCATGAATGGTATGTGTAACTGAATTTTTAACCCACTTACCAAAGAATTTATGATCTAGCACCATAAGAAAACTGACAGATATTTCTTGTCCTCCTAAACTTCTGTTGAGTTTAATTAAGGATCTATTGAAGTGAAATGAAAGTCTTTGATTGACTGGTAACAGACTAAATAGCTTAACAGCAATCTGTAACTGTAAAACTATAATATTAAAACTGTCTTTTAAAAAATATTTTAGCAAGGTGGCAATAGAGAACTATGCTTTGATCTGTCATCTGGATCAAGTTAACAACAAAACTCTCATGAATGAGGTTCAAATGAGGAAAAATAGTAAGATTTGTTGCTCTGGGATATAGGTGCAATATATTCAATAGATGTTACTTTCCTTCAGTTTTTCTTCTCAGTCTCTCTGCACTAAATGGAATTTGAAACATTTCTAGAATATCCATTTTCAATAAGGTAGGGCTTTTCCCTATATAATAAGGGGGGGAAAGCAGATATAAGGCCTACATGCTATCCTGGAAATATAATGTAGTCTGATTATTAAAGCATGTAATTTAAAATCAAGAGACCCACATTCTAGCTTTGATTCTGCAATGGCCTTTTGTTTGCAATGACACAGAACCTCTATTTCTTGCGATCTCACTAGTTAAAATAAACATGCTAATATTTCCACAAAGCACTTTGAGATTTTTATGTGGCACGTGTCTAGTTCTAGTCTGCCTGATTCTTACTAATAAATCATTTAATCTGAGCTTTTTTATCGTGAGAGAATAATTTTAGAAAATACAAATAAAATATCTTTTGAAATCCTGACGGTAACGATCTAAAAAACTGTGTTCTTAAGACTACACAATTCACCAAGTTTATCCCGAATTTGCATAATCTTGGTAAAATTAACCTGAATTTAATGCAAGCATTTATAACTGCAATTGGTTTTCCAGTATGAATCCAGTGATCCAGGCCTGAATTCCATTAGCTGAGTGTTAACAGAATGTTTGTAATTAAGCCAGCTCTGTACTCAGTCTCTCCAAATGAAATCAGGTTTCATGTCAGAACAATATTTTTACACAAACTGTTATCATCTGAAGACAAGCGAAGAATTTCTTACTGTTTCTACTGCAGCCCAACACAAAAGCTGCTAACTGGCACAGAATACAATTTATAACTGATTTGTTATTTGATAAGTTATAGTTGATTAAATATTGGGCAACAAATGCTGTCTTTGGCCTCAAACTTCCTTAAAGTACACCAAATTACATTCATCACTCACCATCTTTTAAAGGACTGTAGCAGTTCACAGGCAATTAAGACTATATGAAAGGCGAATGTATTTGTGCATTAATGAATACAAATTATTTCATGCTTTTGTAATAGAGGAAGACAGTCTGGAAAAGTAGCCAGAAAAAGCATTTCAGAAGGCAACACAGAATGCTGTGCTTCCAAGTAACCCTTATAGTGATTTCTAAAACCAAAGAAGCCACCACAGGCTACAATGAAAATTATTAATTAAATGCTGTGTAAATCCTGTATTTTCAGAACTCAGTAAAGTTCACTTTTTCTTTTTTTTTTTAGAAACACTTTAGCACATTTCCATTTATTTCACTTGTGTTGGCTGATCATTATTAAATATTTTCCTGAGATCAAAAGTAACAAGTTCAATTCCACTTCAAAACTTCAAAACC